GAGTGCGCTGACACCTTAGCCCTTCGGGGAAAGGGTAATGGTGCCAGGACAACCCTTACGGAGAAGGGCATACTCATGATGGTCGGGGTAACCTGATGGGGGAGTTTTTGGTATAAGTCTGACTACTTAAAGATTATACGAGAACTCTCCTACCCCGACACAATCAATATCCTCTCGAGAGACTTTAATTGAGATAAGCCTGAGCTTAACGATATTAAGTTTTACCATTTACTTTTATTCTTTACACTTTTGCATGAGCTGTGTTCGAGAGATTTGAACTTTGGTGCGGCCGCATCCTTAGGAACCATCTACCTGAGGGAGCCCCCGTTACATGGCCTCGGGAAGCGAACCAATGGCCACCCAAGACTTCACCCTTGGGATCACATGCGGGATCCCCGACACCAGAGCCAGTGGCTCTGGTACAATACATTAAACCAACTCCGAGAACAGAGTCAAAGAGGAGGGGGACGAAAAAACAAAAATAGGTAAAGTCCTGGAAGATGAGGCATGTCTCCTGGGAGAAAGAGATGGGAAAGGAGAAACCAGAGACAACGATAATGAAATTGTTGGCAGAGGTGGAGGAGATGAAAGAATTGTTGGAATGGCAAGCAGAAAAAATAGGACTACTCCAGAGCGAGTTGAGGGAGGAGATGAGGATAAGAAAGGCACTCCGAAATGACTGGAGAAGGGAAGAGAAGGAGGCAGAGAGGGCCCTGACGAGAGTAAGGAAAAGTCAGCCCTTAGTTAAACAAGGAAGCCAAGTGGGGACTACCGGTGGACAGGGCATGGAAATTGGAGGAAAGATTGATGTAAGCCCAATGGGACTCAGGCTGAGGGAGAGGGGAGCTAATGTCACAAACTGTGACTAAGCAAGGCAGATTTTACATAGCTTGGAATTCCGAGCTATAGGTATGTTGGGATTTCACATGATGCACACTGGTGGGCCATAGGTTATTATGTTTATCTGTTCATGACTCACAGTTGTAAGTCACACGATGTTATGATTTTCGCACATGACTCAAATTATAAGTCATGGGTTTCACTCAAGTGATGTGAGTTACGCACCTGACTTGGTTATTATATTTTAATTGGGTTTAGGTATGTTCCGCAGTGACTTATAGGAGTCACCTGATAGATTTCATATGACTCATAGTTATGAGTCACAAGGATCGCGTGACGCAAAAGCATGAGTCATGCCAGGTGAAGAGCTACTATATAAAGGGTTACTAGGACCCCTAGTATTAGCTCTTCACATGTTCTTCTTGTTTATTTCCTACCTTTAAAAAGTTTACCAATAAAACTACCTTTATGCTCTTTAAGATTTATCTTAAGAAACCCAAGAATTGTCTTTCCTCCCAAGCGAGAAAACCATTTCTCATTCTACGTCGAACGAATAAGTCCTAAGCAAGGACTTAAGAAGAATAGAGGAATAGGCGCGATAAGATAGAAGTCAAAGAACTTGACTATCAATATTGTGTAGGTATAGACCTAAGAACTATTACCTCGCACGAAGTAAGAATCGTTACCTGTCGCCTTACTCACCCACCTGGCAGGATTCTTAACACCTCTACTCACTTACAGCCTACCCCCAGCTGAATGACTGGCTAGCCTGCTTTGGTGGTACACTGCCTCCTGCATTGAGTTCGCTGGTCCTGTCCCAGCATTTCGCCAAAGTTCTACCATGGGCCTGACAGATGGAGTCTACATCCACAGCCACCTGTAGAGGTACTTTGGAGATTTTTTATTCTATTCTTTCCTTTGTCGTAATGATGCTAAAGGGTTTTCTTTCCTCTCCTGCCTTCCTTATAGATAACGATTATTCCTGTGTGGGACGAGATATGTAATTAGGCCCATACCAGAGGATTTTGTATTGATTGTTTTGGTTCCTAGGGTATGGAGAAATGCGTCTGAAATTAAGGTTTTATTTTTGCTATAGCTAGCACTCCATGCATGTTCTTGTACCTTAACAATGAATATATGAGTTAAATAAAAAAAATAAAAATTCCTAGCTTTAAGTCTATTATCAGCAACCGGAAAAGAGATCTTATTAATATATTAATTCTACTTTACTTTTATCTTTATGAGCCTTCTTGACTATCTCCAAAACAAAAGATTACTAGCTCTACTTTATACTCGCTTGACTTTAGAGTTACCTACCTCCTAACACTTACATTAATTTGATTGAGACAATATAGAGATTAATAAAGACTTGGTTAGCAGCAAGCTGATCCCCTGTCCTCAGAATAACAAAAACAAGATAGAGATAATTGAAGTGTAGTAGAATGTGATTACTGAGCATGGTTTGAGGAAAATTCTTAATACTATAATTGACTGAATTGATGTACTTGTTAGTTTAAATAGTAGTCCTACTAAATTATAACCTATTCTTGCTTTTTTTTTTCCTTTTTTGCTACTTTTCATTCAAGTACTTTTTTCTTCTCTCTTATTCTGCTTATTTCAATTGAATTAGTTTAGTATCTTTAGCCTTATATTCAAATTAGGGGTGATATAGGACTTAGATACTGGCACTGTATTCAAGTTGAGATTGTTTAAGTTTCAGAGAATAGTATTTCTTTTAGATGTTCAAGTTCTGAAATATGTGGTACAAAGTGAAAAAATCAATAGTTAGTAATGATTAGTTATGATTACTATAACTCAAATATACTTGGTTCTTTAGTTCTTTACTTTCTCCAATTCAATAGCTCTTATTTGAATAAAACTGTAGTATACATCTTGCAAGCACCATACCACTGCCCTCTAACCTCTGATCCCTGTTCTGTACCATGAATTCATAGGATAGTCTTATATCATACCATTCCAATTTGCTCACATCATTCAGAATAGCTTTGGCATGTTAGTCTGTGTTTGTTAGTTTTTAACAAGTCTATCTATCTCTATAGTATATAGTTAGTCAGCTTTTTCAGGTTGCATTCCAATGCCAAGACCTTAATATTATACCAAATCTTCAGGTTTTCAAATGAGTATACCATTCTCTTCAGTTGCCTCTACTAATTTAAAACCCCATACTTTTATTCAGATCCTCTTTACCTGTACTCATACAGTTATTTTTTACATGATTTGAACTAGTATGAGGTTAGTTATACCACCTTGAACACACCCCTAAATGAGGTTCACACTTATCCGTTTCTGCACCATAGTGGATTTCAGGAGTTTTTACGGTAATGGGAACCTTGGCATAGTTATGGGACCAGGCTAGTCACTTCGCAGGAAGCAATCTTTGCAAGTACTCTAGAGAGGACTCCATAGCCTATAAAAGCGTGATGAAAAGACAAAAATGAAAGAAATAATATCAAAAAGAAACACTTCTTCTCGATTAGCACCCCAGCGGGTAATTGTCCAAGCGAATTTATATCCAAATGAAACCCCCACGCAATATCCAATCTCAGACCAAAGAAACCAAGTTTCAAACCGCACCCCCTACTGTGGTGCTCAAGCTAAACAGCGATGTTCTCCTAAGAATTCGGCAACAGTGCTCGCTTGTGTATTTTGCTGGTCTTGTGTGTTTCTCAATCCACAATCCTGATTCCGGTGCGTTTGTGATAGTAGCAGGGCGAGAGTCGTAGTGCATTATCTCACGAGGAGGTGGGAAACCCGAGCTCAAATATAACGGTCCAAATCTAGTGGCCGGACAGGAATGAGTGACTTTTTTACGGGTGTTTGTAGTTTTGAACCCGATCCCTGCCTTCCTGAACGTGAATACAAAGGGGTACCGGAAGGAAAATTGTGGTCTGAGTCAATTCTATCATATTTCCTACATACGGGGACATTGTAGCCGCGGAGCCCCAACACTATCCTGGGTGGGGCGTAAATATCGTGCCCCGCTAGGATGAATGAATACCCTAGAGCGCCTGCGGTGGAATTGGCTTGTTGGAGATACATACAGGCGCATCAAACCTTATGAATGAGCCAGCCGAAAGATTTGCATATCTCTTAACTTAAACCATCTCAAGATAGTCTCTGATTTCCATACAGGCGGGAAAGCTCTTCTCGCAACCTGTACTTGGCTCTTTGGAGATGGGGGCCGCCGGGTACGGCACGGGACGGTGCCCGCGCGGCACAGTCCGCTGTGGTGTCATGCTGGGTTGCTGTGGGAAGCTTTTTTTTTTTTTTTTTTGCCGAAGGGGCTGTGGTGTGGGGCACATACTTTGCGTGCTTTCCATCTAAGCACGAACAAAACTGCCATGGTATCATAGTATGACGCTTGCGAAAAGAGAGACTTATCTCCGCTTCATTTTGTTCATACACACTGCTATGCCTAAGCATTATCTCTAGCAGGCGGCTCAGTTATCACTATGACACTCATTCCTCAGCTGTTTTATGGCCCCATCACAGACCATCACTCGTTTGGGTTAAATTTCAGACCGTGAGATTACATGCTACTGTAGGACACAGTAGGATATAGTACAGTGACTTAACGTACGCGCGCCCCCTCCGTGCGCAATCCTCCCCATGCCCTGCCAAAATGTCATCTCCTAACCCCTCTTGGCTGGCGATTTAGGATCGATTCGTTGTGGGGGAGATTTGGTATACCAGCACCTTTCGCGACATGAGCTCCTCTTGCAGAAAACCTCATTACGTGGGATCGGATTTTGACGCCAGGGGCACCCTCTCCCATCACTGCATCCTGCTGCCGTGATTTACGGTTCACCACCAGCCTTCCGCAATACTGTAACAAATAGTTATGCTCGAACAGTAAAGAGGGAGGTATTATAGCTAGTATGCAGCATCTGTCTCCCGCATCGACAAGCGAGCGTTGAATGCGGCACGGTAGGCAAAACACGCCAAGTCGGACCCCCCCCCGGGCCCGGCTCCTAGATCACTATGCAAACTAGAAATTCGTCTTGGCGAAGCAAACTGCTGTTACTCTACAAGTACTCCTACAAGAGAGGAAATCCTTGCCCACAAGCCCCCCTAATCTCGAGAGCTCATTGTCCCGCGCCCAACCAAGCATGAGCAACCACACGGTGTGAGGCAAAGCATCACTCGGCAGTGTCATTGTCATGTTGATACCAGTCCCCAATCGGCCAACCCGGTGAGGGCTTCCTAATGTACGCCTCCGGAGCAGCCGGCTCGGGAATCTCATACACGAAAGGTTCGCCACCAAAATTGGCCCGAATTTCATCCCCCGGCTCAAGTCTAATCATTGGACGTAATTTTCCGCGGATTCCGGGCAGGACTTCGCCTAAATCTGTAAGCACAACAAGAGCCGACAAGTAGGTAAAGAGATCTTACCAGCTCGCTTCCCATTCATGGTGAACGAGACTGCTCCTCTTATGCGGTCGAAATGACAGCCTATGATATCGTTCGTGGTAAAATGCGGAATGGATCCAATGAGATTACTCTCTTCGGCGCGGATGAATCCAGGAACGTAGCCCCAAGAGCGGAGGGCATCCCCGAGCGGGTAAGAGTAGAGATAGAAGCCATCGATAACATAGTAATACATGGCATCCACGAAGCCAATTGTGCAGTCCTTTGATGCTTTTAATATGTGAACCTCAAAGTAGTAGTCGTCTACGACCGGGGTTATGGGGAATTTTGTCCGGAGTTGTTCTTTCGAGGTCGAGACTAGGGGACGTTAGCCTTGGGGCGCCACTAGAAAAATGGATACCGCTTGGAAATCTACTACTTACTATTCTCAACTCTGCATCCATCTTCACTAATCTTTAGCCCTGTTGAATTACCGATGGCCTCCCAGCTGCCCGGCCCCATTCCCGTGATGTTCATAATTTCCGATTCGTCATCATCTCCGAGCACCGTTAGTAGCTTCTCCACAGATCCCTCCTTCAAGCGCTGCATAGCGTAAAACATTGGAGTCCAGCCATGTTCATCTTTAGCACGTGGATCCGCCCCTTCGCAAAGTAGCATCTCGCTAATCTTTAAAAACCCCTTTGCAATCGCAAGGTGAAATGAAACCCCCAAGCTTGGCGAGCCCTTCCTATTTCTAAGTAGCAATTCCACAATCTTCACTTGACCATAGTAGACAGCACCCTCCAACATTGGTGCAAAAACATTATCTCTTAAAAGGATTTCCATCGCTTCCGGCTTCTGCAATAAGCATTGAAGAGCTTTGACTCTGCCATGCTCTGCTATGAGCTTCAAGGTCTTGGGGAAATTCTCATTACTGTCGCAGATGATCCGGGAACCATATTTCTCTATGAGTATCTGTACGGCCCGGTCGAACCCTACCTCTACAGCCAAATACATGGCTTCCCAGAGGGACTTGACTTCCTCTGTCTTTGTGTAATACTCCGCACACAGGATTTCAATCAAGACGTCCTCGTGTCCATTGACCACTGCCAGAGAAATGGAATCTCCATACCGGCCGACATCCGGCTTTTCGCATGTCGCACCAGCTTCTATTAGTGCCTTTATGCAGCCTGCATGCCCATTAACCGCCGCAATACGCATTGCGCCATCGCCGCTTGTTTCTGTGTTTGCGCCATATTTTAGAAGAACTTTAACAGTTTTAGAGTGTCCAAATTCCGCCGCAACCTGTAGTGGGGTGACAGTACCGCCCCCAGAGAAATCGACGCCGGCGCCTCTGCCAATTATCCCTTTAACCAGTTGCCAGAGGCCAGCTAAGGAAGCATAGACCAAGGTGGCTGTTGGACACGCTGGATCCAAATAACGGGTGACGTTCCCGTCTTTGGAGGACAGTGCCTGCCGCCATGAATTGAAATTCGGATTATTATCATTGCTATAAAACCGTACCAGTAGGGCGTCTAGGGCCATGTCTGAACCATATTCGTACTTGAGTACGTGTTTCCAGTTGCTCTTGGAAGCATATAGAAATAGAGGATACTCTCTCCCTCGAAGATCAAACTCAGCAACAGTGCTACAAGGGCCTGCACTGAAATCCTCAAGCAGTAGATACGTGTATATGATCTTTGAAATCTCGGCATTCCCCAGAGTTTCATCGATATAGTAGTATGAAGCTTTGCCTTTAGCCAAATTCGGGGAGATCAAATATTCCTTTACTGAGAAGTGTGTTAACTCCGCTATGTTCTTCTCGTTCCTATCAACGAGCCCGCCGCAGATGTCTAGAATGTCTTCTTCATCATTAAGCCTATTGTCGGGATCCATCCGCTTAGATCCAACCTCTATCGCTAAGCCTTCTCTGATCTCAGAGAGCGTCAAGTCCCGGTCACCGCATAGCAGGAATCGAAACACTTGTAGCGCGAGCTCGCGGTCCCCCTCGGCTATGCCACATAAAATTCTTTCGTACGTTTCGTCCAAGGTTGGGGGAAGTGACTCTAATGCGGATTTGATGGCTTTATCGGTTCTGAGTTTACCAATCTGGTCCAGGCAGCATTTGGCCCAGCGGAACCTACGCGAATGGTCAGAACAACCTACTCAACCTGAGGGGTAACAAACATCACGCACATTCCTTGAGCTCCTTTTACTAAAGCGTCGATAACCTCCTGCTTAGTGTGACTAGATAGACGTTTCAACTTTCCCTTTCGTTCAATACTCTGCGAAATGAATAACTCAATATCCTTCGCAACGTCCTTCTTCTGGATACCAAGTCTGGGTAGGCCCTCGAAGTGAAGCTTTATATTGAGGTGGTCCCGGCTGACGACCAAAAGATTGACATTGCTTATGCCTGCGAGCTCCCTCAAGGTTTCTAGCATGGTTGGTTGCAAGCTATCTCCGCACTCGTCTACCGCATCAACAACGATTGCAAGCTTGGGAATCCTTGCTGAAAGGTGCCGGAGAAGGTCAATAAGACCGGATAAGCTGGGCGGACCGTCCCCGGATTTTGCCAGGAAGAAATTCTCCACATCCCGAGGCATGGTGGGCTTCTGATTTGCTACCTGCCAGATGATCGATCCTATCAGGTTTGTTGCTTTTTGCTTGGATGTTTGCTTGAAGTCGCAATAGAAGTATGCGAGTATGGAGCCGGGCTCTTTGGTAAATTCCGTGGAAATATGTTCAATCACAGTAGACCTTAGACGCATCGATCAGCAATTACCCTCTCGGCGTGCCAGCAATGTTTCTTACGATAGGATCGTTTTACCCGCGCCAGCTTTTCCATAGTTAGCAGCTACCTTCCTACCATACCAATTGAAACTTAGCGGGATGTATGGAGGGAAGCTAACGTATTCCATGCAGCCAGAGAAAAGATTTGCCCGCCTTAAGCCAGTCTTGGAACTCTTTCCTTTCAGTGAACCAACGCCCGGTACCGTATTGGCATAGCTTTCTTGCCGCCAAATGATTAGACTGCGGGTCCGCCGGTGAAAGCCAATATCGGATTCCGTTTAGCATAGAGTCTAGGGGTGTTAGTAAAGAGCAATAGCATCCGAAAGTATAAAGAATGATGAACAAAAGGACATATCCCGGAGATAAATACAACAGAGTGAAGAATCTCGTTTGATATCCGAGTCTCCTCCCCGGTTGTGGAGCCCAGCATCTTTGTCAATCTATCCCGAAACCCCGAGGTTTCACGATTTAGCATGAACAGAGAATGACCTACCATAAACGGCCTGTTTCTCATCCTGCTTTTTTAAAGATTGAATTGCCTTAATATCCTCTATATCGTTTCGAATCTCCCGTGCCGACGACCTAATGTCAAATCAGATACGCCCCCACTGCCCACCCACCCAAAAGATTCACGAAACACTCACACTTCATCCACAGACAAAGCAACCTCAAATAGCGACTTATGCCTCTCCAACCGCTCACACCACTCCCTCGTCTTCTCCTTCAGTGGCCAGCAATGCCTCCAAGCACCCCGCCTCTTGTTGGCCACGTCATACTTCTGCAAATCTCTCAACATCCCCTCTATCAACTTCCGACACTGCTCGACAGTCTCGCCCATAGTTCTTATGAGATCCCCGGAGCCCCCACTTGGGATTCCAGTATTGATAGCCGGATCACCCACTAGAATCTTCACGGCGTGGAGGACCCCACTGAGCGCCGTAACTTCCTGTACCAGGTGTCGGATTTCAGGCGGGAATTGGGCAGAACCGGAGCCGTATCGGTATCCTGCCGCAAGAAGTTTGCCAGCGAGCGAGAGTACCGCTATGATATTGGAAGATAACGCCAAGGCTTCCATGATCGTGGGTGTGATACGGTAGGTAACTTATGAGTGTGTTGTGACTCGGGAGGGAGAAACGGCGAGAACTTAGGGTCAGTCTTATATAAAAACGACGTTCAGCCTTCCGATGGGAAATAGAGAGGCGCAAGACTCCCGGAACCTAAAGGTTTGTGATTACCTGTGTGGAAGGATCAAAAGAAGGGAGAGGCGAATGTCAGGCAGTAAACTTGAAGCAGGCAGTGCTGCGACCAATCCCACCTTCACGATGGTATGCTGCTGAGTAGGCTTGGCCAGCCAATCACAGCCCTGCTTCTGCACACCAGGCTGCAGCAAAATTTTGTAAGCAGCAGCGGATGGGGAAGCATGCCCTTTGCTACTGGCAGTTATGATGTGAACTCAGCACGATGCACGTCGGGTTGTGCTGGCGCTTAAGTTAGATGCAGAGTTCCGCATGCTCTACGCGTAACTCAGCCTACTATCAACTTTAGTTGGCTATTAGTTCATATGATGCCAGTGCTCGAGTACTTGTAATTCTCCTCAGGCAGGGAGGCCGTACCCATCATAGGAGACCTGGAGATTATTGGAGAAAACAACATGCCACATACGAGAAATCAATCGCTACACAACCGAATTCATTCAGCAAAAAAAAAAAGGAATACTTCCAAGAGGCCCTCTATTACCTAGATTTAATGGCCGATATTCTTAATTCTTGATCCAGTGGTGGGAGTAATCACGATAAACTGTATGCAACACGGTCAGAATCATCTGTTGCAGTGCCCTTTCGGGAAGGGAGGCCGCTCGGCGTTGTCGAATCAGGAAAGATGTCTGTATTGAGTTGTGCTCGGTCTCCCCGCCTGGGGAGACCTCAGGCGAAGAGATTAGCATTATTGAAGGCTTTCACGGTTCTCACAAACCGCTTTCCCTCGTTCCCTTTCTCAAGTATCAGTACAGCGCGGCAGGTCCATCTTACAGCACGGCAAAATGGGAGTCTCCTCGACGCCAGGCCAGCTCATTCACTCTACTCGTAGCTCTCCCTTTGCGATCCTTTGCTCCAACCCGACCCGTGAGAGAACTTGCGGTATGCACTACCGCATACCCGTGCGGTGTTCCACTCCTATTGTATCGGATTACTCGAGTACACAATCCGATAACGGCGATGGGGCCGCTGAACCGGCAGAAATTTGGCTGACCCACCGAAAATGCCAACTTTTCGTCTCGATCCGCGCTTTATGACCATCACCGACAATTTACGAGTAGCGATCCCTAACTCTTTCGTCGGGAAATCCCTCCAATACAAGTACCGGTACGGCAGGGAAGGAAAACTGACCTGGCGCCATGATCCTTCCTGTAGCCTTAGGGTAACGAATGAGATCGCGGATTTAATAAATAAATAAATAAATAAAAAGAACCCGGCCTAGCTCCGTTCGCTACAGTGCTCTCGAGATATTACCACACTGGGATGGCATGGCGGGACCCAAAACCATGGTCTAAGCTTATCCTCGACCCCGCCCACTACTCGTACTTCCTCCGCCAAGACTCTCAAGGAAACCTTACGAGTAATCTAGTTGGGCAAGTTCGACTTGAGAACACAATTCGATACGGTACTTATCCTCGATAGGCAGCCAAAATAATCTTGCTAGTCGGCCTGGCGGAGGGGGAAGGAGAGAGCGAGGGTGAGAAAGTGACTCCGTGATGACCATCGCACTTGCAAGGACAGTGCCGGAAGCCGCGGAGGGGAAATAGTGTAACCAACCAATTTGATCCCTCTCCCTCTCTGAATCGAACCTCGCTCTACAGTAGGACGCTGGAGTTGCCTCTCCTACCGAGTTAAGGCCGCTTGTATTTCCCCTGAAGGCTAGATTTTTCTCTTTCGGGTGATTCCCTCCCCGGCTCAATTGTCCCAGTTCTTACTTGTAACTTACATGTACTGTACTATACTACTCGAGTAACTTACAGGGTTTCGAAGATTACGAGAGAGAAAATGATATTCAATATTCCGCACGCAAGGCACTATTCCACAAGAGGGGTTATACTCTCTCCCTCCCCCCTCCTCAACCGCTTCCGGCACCATAACCCACCTGTATGTAACTTACCTACTAGACCAAACCTCAACCAAGTGCCACGGCATCTCAATGCATTCCTCAATCCGTAATACGGCCCCACGCACCCACACCGCAATTCCTGCCCCAGAAAAGCACCGATTAATAACTTAAAACTCCCCAATTAACCACCCTAGCCTTCCGGTGTACGGTACTCATGTAGCCATTTACGATATCATACTCACAGACAGTGCCTACCCCGCATCATTAGTCCTCTCCTTTCCCACCCCCTCCTCAGCGAGTACTTAATTCCCCCAAGCCCACATACCGGTACCCTACCCCACCGCGTCCATCTAGTTCGTCCCTCCCATATCACCCCGAACCTACCCTACCTGTGCACCCTACGCAGAAGAGAACAATTTACAAGCCCCAGAATGACCCAATACAAGGCAACCCCCGCCTTTGAAACTGCCCGCAGGAACATTGACGGTCTAAAGGACGCTCCCAATCCGATAGCGAGTCCGGACCAGCACGACCAGCTGCTTGTATGACAATTCCCTTCCCTCCCCTCTCCCGTGATGCACACGGTACAATCGAGATTTATGACAAGAAAGGCATACTGCCTCTTCAAGCAAACCACGAAGGGCGACGTCACGGGCTCTAGGCCATTTTTCGGCGCCGAAGTTCATCTCCCCCAACTTACCCCCCCACTCGTGGTACTAAATTGTTGCAACAGGCGGTGAAATTCGACGCCCGGGCACTTGTCAGGGGCACGGCACGCCAGGAGGCAGACGCGCGCTACGTGAATTGCGCGGGGTATATTCTTGAGGGAATGGAGCTGAGTGAGGAGAACAAAGACCTGTTAGAAAAGATTAGGAAGTTGGGAACTTTCTCTCTCCTAAATTGGTAGGCTGACGGAGGGAAGGAAGCATGGCTGCTACCGGCTACAGCGCGGATGGAGGGATGGGCAAGAGTGAGGGAATGGTTACGCTTAAATATTAAACAGACGACTGCGAGGGGCTTCCTCTCGCCATTGATTTGGTTGACTGACCAATTTGATTGATTGATTCGATTAATCGATCCATCGATTCACGCATCATAGTTGCTGGCCCTACAAAGACGTACGATGATGCGAAATGCCACCTGAAGCAATCCAGATATCAGGCTTCCTTCTCCAAGTACCTCCCGGCAGCCTTCCGGCGGGCTATTGAGAGTATAACGAACCGTCACCCTAAGAGGTCTTTCAGTGTTGCCGCTCCGTATGACCGTACGTCTCGCTATGCCGTCAATTGCCCTGACCAAAGGTTGATGGGAGAGAGAAAATTATATTGCCCCGCTATTCCCCCACTCCCCCCTATTCTTCTCCCGTTCCAACGCCCCAGGTCCGATAACCGAATCCCCGCCCATGAAACATTCGATACCACCCCCACGAGAGCTTGACTTCAGCTCCCCCACCTGTGATTAATGCGCAACCCTTCATTTTCCGATCCAAGTCTAAGGAAACGAAATAGAAGGCAAAAAAGAAAAGAAAGAAAGAAAAAGAAAAAGATCCAAGATATCCATCAGTGGAAATAGAAACAAAGGTGAATTCGCAAGATACATGAAAAAGGTGAATAAGAGACAAGAAAACAAAAACCCAGGCACAGTTAGAAGTCACTTCATCCCCATCCTATCTCCCCCCCGGCACACCGACGAGGTGCAATACTACTCGATTAATCAACCTTTCCACCAACGCCCTCCTCCTTGGTAGACTCAAGCTTAAAGAACCCACCAGTGCCCCGCCTCTTCATCCGTCCACGGCCCCAGACAGCCAACGCGATAACGGCGGAGGCAAGGAGGAACCACGAGACCAAAGGATGGTTGGAAACCCTAGCCCTGATCTGGTAGTACGCTGTCTCGAACCTGTTTGTAGTGCTCTTACTTCTGATGCGGGGATGCTCTGCAATGACAGCCTTGAGGGTGTCAAGGATAGTCGAGCGGGAGGGAACAATGGCAGTGCCCTCGAGCGTGGTATCCCAATATTGTTTAGTCTACAACATATTAGCTCAATTAATTAATTAGGAAGTGTAGCGAGAACCAACATCTTCCTCGTTGATAATAATCCTCTCGCCCATCTCCCCAACGTTAATACCATACGTAGTCCTAACCCAGCGCTCCCAGAAGACGCCATCGACCCAGGCGAAGCCAACTTCCTTCTTCTTCTCCAAATTAATCTTCATGTTCTTCGCAGCCCTGAGCGCTCTCTGGTCATTCCTGTCTTCAGCCTCTTCAATCCGAAGTTGTTTTTTGTCTCTCAATTCCTGCTTCTCATTCTTCTCCTGAAGCTGGCGCTGATCCATAAACTCTAGGGCAGCCGCCTTAAGTTCCTTCTTCGCAGCGGCAAAGTCCTTGGGCCTATCCCTAGATAATATACCGAGAACAACAGTCTTCCCATTCATAATCTCATGCGAGTTGGATGCGGAAAGCTCGGGAAGGATAGGAAGCCAAACAGTCCGTGCCCATCCGGTGACGCGGCCAAAATCACGGATCGAACCTGGGGCGATACCCGGGAAATAACTCGGACGGCCGTCACGAACGACTATAAGCCTGGGCCACGTAGTTATTCTAAAACGTCGAGCGAGAAGCTCACTCTTAGTCTTCAAGAGAGGGGCATGGCCAATAAGGGTCAACGGAAGCCTCTCCATTGCCTTGAAGTCTTCAGTGGTAGTGGCGGAATCGTAAAAGAAGAGGAAAGCGACCTCCATACCACCCTTCTCCATCTCCTCAAAGTCGGTGAACTCGATTTCCTTAATGCTGGAATCGACAGCTTTCTTGGCAAACGAGACAAGATCTCCGAGGCCGCGAAGACCATTGTACTCGATCCTTTCACCGTGCTGGAAATAAATGATGGTCGGATATCCGCGGACCTTGAGCTCCTTGCAAAGATGTCTATCGCTCTCACAATTTATCTCCCCAATGTTAAGCTGGTTCTTCATCTCACGACCAAGCTCGGCCCATTGTGCAGCCAACACCTGGCAGTGCTGACACCAAGGAGCATAAAACTTGATGAACCATCCATCACCAGTCCCGATAACCCCCTTCAAGAAATCATCCGCAGTCAATGCGACACTCTTACCCTCAGGGTTCTTTGATTCATCGTAAATGGTTTTCGGGAGAGCGAGATTGCGGTTTGACTTGGCGGATATCTCCACAATGTACTTATCGACGAACTTTGACATCTCCTCCACACTGCGGTCCGCTTCTATTGGGTACTGCTCGATTGCCTTCCCATCCTTGAAGAGGATAAAGCTAGGGAACATCTCAATTCCAACCTTCTTATCGACGCAGATATCACCGTAGGAAACGCAATTAATATTGGCAAAGTGAAAGTCATATTTCTCGGTGAAGGTTGGACTAGAAGACGGGGACCCAGGATCGGAATTGGGCGAAGGGGGAGTCCCCGAATCTACCACCTGGGTCGCGTACTTGTCGTGCAACTGCTTCCATATAGGAGCGGCCTTGATACAGTGCGGACACGTCGGCGAGTATCCCTTCACGAACCTTGAAAACGATAACAAATCCAAAGTCAGCCTCACCATAAACCACTACCGAAGTTACTATGGCAGACCCAAGGAGCACGAGAGAAAGCGAAAGGCCAAGATGACGAAAATAGCTCATAACCAGTTCCATCATGTGTGGGTAACATGCACGACCAATGGCTGTAGAGTGATCAAAAGTGCAAATAAACAGGAAAGAAGAGGGGAAAAGCAGCGAGACAGAAATAGCTCACCAATAACCCTTCGCGATAGTCGTCCAGAAGTTTCCCGTCGTGAGCTCGATGATATCAGGAGCCTTGACTTCTGGTTCAATCTTGGCCGGCGAAGTAGTAGTACTCGCGGTCTGAGCAGTCCGGATAGGCTCTCCGACCACTAGCGGGGTCGCAAGAGTGGCGAGTAGTAATGGAATAGATGTTGAGAAGCGCATCGTGAACGATGGACTATGTGGTATGGAGGGAGCCCTCTGTAGGGGCAAACGGTGAGGGGGTTCAAGGTCGGAGAAAGAGCGTAGAGAAAGGGATGGCGCGACGAAGGGAAAGGCGTATAGGTTCGTATCCCTAATGTAAGGGGCGAACCGAAAAAGTGGGTTAAGGGAAATGGAGGAAAGAAATGTGGAGAGTAAGAGCAGAAGAGAGAGCTATCGAGAGTACTTAACTTTTTTCAGGGGTGGGATGGGTGAGTACCGGTGGTGGCGGCAGAATAATTGGCACCGTATGATACCGCAAGTGAACCCTCTGATAGGAAGAGTGTTTCCGCAGCTATTCTCCAGAATAGAAGTTGCAGGGGAGGATCTCTCTCGCTCTCTTTTTTTTCTTTTGTTGTTCCCTTTCCACAACTCCTTTCCTCCACCTCCTCCAGCCAAGCTTACATAATCAGCCACACCAAATCTTGTGCCTCGACGATCTGCCACCTTCCGGTACCATTTCTACTCCGGTGCAGAACCCCAAATACCGTACTTTGCTGTGCCATTCATCGTTCACCGGGCAGGAGAACCTCACAGCCATTGGTCTGCATTCCAAAAGCCCTGAATGAACGAGAGACACCCCAGGGGAATGGTTGCCAATTTTAAATAGATACCGAGCTCCAAGCCACTCGACCGTTTTGCAAGTATGCTACTCGAGTGCATTTTTCGAAAAAGCTCGGGTCCCAACAGCACTGGGTTCCATTGCCACAACCCTCCGGACCCCGCTTTTTGCCTTCCCACGGTCTTCAGGAAGGACAGAACGCGGTTCGACACCACAAAACCACACACAAAAATCCCACGGTTCTATCGGGCCGCTAGGCTTGGGTCTTCATATCCTCCCCGTGTGATAAAACACCATGACTGGCACCCCACTACCATCACACAAACACACAAACATCGGTATCATTCTTTCATCTTTCTTTTAAGTCTGCTGCCCGAGTTGAAATAAACACAAGACCCGCCAAACACGAGTAAGTATCATACCGTTCATCGCCAAATGTCCAGGCAAGCACCATTGTCGAGTGCCGGTACTCGAGTATGATATTGCAGCGGGGGATGCAACTGAAGGGTGGTTTCGTGAGTGCGAGGTGAGATTGGATAGTATCTATGAAAGTTTTCCAACGGAGATATGAATCCACTTTGACGATTACCCATCGGGGTGCTACTAGTAGTCCTTGCTTTTGGTGTTATTTCTGTCTTTTTTGTTTTTCTCTCTGGGCTCCTATCCGCTCCACCATAGGATCCTTCCCGCGTTCAGCGGTCGTACAGTACTGTATACCCTTAGAAACGCTTGTCATGCATCGTACCCAAAATCAAACCACGAATTTGACAAAAGAAAAAAAAAGACAAGACGGCACCCAGCAGCACCGGCTGGATCAACCCGATGAAAGAGATCTCCCTCGGCTCATAGATCGAAAGGATGAGGGGAAATCATGTACGACACATGACACCCGTAACCGCCATGAGGAACCCTACCCAGTCTAGGGGAACCGTTACAGATCCGATATCACCTTCCAATATACAACTTGTGCTACCGATAAAGATCGTTAGTCGTTTACTTGGGGTGGGTGGTCTGCTATTGCCTGGCCTGAGTCACGTCAAATCAAGCGCATTCCGGCGAACTACTAGTATCATAGCACCCATCCCTCACTCCCCAGTTCACAGCCCATAAAAAACTAGCGTTTGATCGATGGGACGATAGAGTTTAACCCAATGTTAGCTGGGAAAATAAGACTGTTTCGATTGATCCCCCTAACTTATCGACTAAAAGACAAAAGAACCGCCACTAGAGGAAGAAAGACATAGTGAAAACAACATCCATCATCATCACCATACCGGCATTCAATGACATGACAAGTCGTGTTTACTTCTTGCCGGAGCCACTGCCACCATAAGGAGCGGTATAGGTGCCTTGACCACTCGAGCTGCTATAGTAGTAGGTGGAGCCCTATACCCCGCATTAATATCCAAACCTCTGATGGTCTTTAAGGAACGAGAAAACCCACGTTGGGGTTACTATAATAGTAACTCCCGTCACCTGCCGGTGAGGCTTCAAGTTAACGTACTGATCCCCAACAATAGTAGAACTAGAGGTGCATCGTAACGACTTACTATTGGAATAATGATACGTATTGGAATTGGCAGCTCCGCTACCATAATCGCGAGCACAGTAACGGTTGCCCTACCAGCCTTCAGTGGACCCATTCGCAAGCAATCCAAAGGAAAAGCAAGGGGCAAACCCGGCTATTGGTCCCGATGGACTTGTAGGAGTATCCTTGATTGCTGGAAGACATTTCTTCTTTTTGTTTGTTTAGTTCGAAGCTGAGTTTCTGCAAATTGCGGTTGGTATAGGAGGATGCGTGGCGAGGATGATTGAGGAAGAGGAGAGAGAGTCCAGAGTGCGGGGTACGCGTCGACCTTAAGTACATCAGGAGGGAAGTAGGTCAGGTGATAAGGTGTGGGTTTCGTTTTTCAGGTATGGTGGATGCCGTCTAGAGACAACACCTTGTGGGACGCCTCAGGGGACGCAACGGGGGATGCTTTGTCATTCAACCCTGCTGAAAAATGCTGGGTTTAGGTTTAAATCACTAGGGTACTTGATATATTCCGACTATTGTGTAGAACATTTTTATGTATATCATCTTATGCATACCCCCTTCAATAATCGCTCTACAGACACCATATCAACAATCTCTCCTCCAAAAGGCTAAATCAATTACAACTTGTATAATGGCATCCCCGAATTCCAGAAAAATACCATATACACTCCCAACTGTTCTACCATCTCCCAGACTCGTTATTCCATCCACACTGCATAACCATGCATATCGGGAGAGACTACATCTCGCAAAGGCTACTGCTCAGCGATCACCAGGTCGGTGGTTACAGGTAGATAATATCATATTTAATATACATAACACCGTGCTACACAATAGTTGGAATATATCAAGTACCCTAGTGATTTAAACCTAAACCCAGTATTTTTCAGCAGGGTTGAATGCCAAAGCATCCCCCGTTGCGTCCCCTGAGGCGTCCCACAAGGTGTTGTCTCTAGACAGCATCCACCATAGAGAAACTACCCACGGTCGATGTGCCTGCCCTGTCGCTCCATCAGGCTTCCCGCATGCACAAGCAGATTTCCGCACCCAGGCACAACCCCTCATCGGGAGGTATGATATGATATGATATGATATGATAGAGGAAGTGCAGGACCAGCGATAGCCGTCCCATTCCACCTTAAAGAATCCGCTCCCGTTCGGCTTCTTTCAAAGAGACGGGAGCAGTCTTTCCCTCATCTTCGCCCGCCACTAACAAGATATCGATTGCTTGCACCGTGCTTTCCCAGCCACGTTTCCACCAGCCCCCCCCACCACGAACACCCCAAAATATTGAAGCATCCATTCTAGCAGATTCCACGGGTACAAGTAGATGGTCGTGTTAGCCACAGCTCGTCCAGCAACATTAACCGGCCTCCTCACCTCCGTGAAGTAAAGCCAGCGCACATCGCAAAGATCAAACCCAAGTGCACAGCACCTCCTGCAAGAAAACCCCACAAAGTGCACAAAATCAACCTCCGCCCCTCCCCCATGACACCAAAGCGGCCAACAAACCTCCACAGCACTTACTTGTACCGTACAGGTACAGTCAGCGCAGGAGTCCCGCATAAAGCACCACCACCACGTTCAAGTCCGAATTCAACGTGAGCGCTCGCTCGCTCAGACGCGCGCAAGTAATTAACTCGCCATATCATACAAATTCTCGTCCACCATGCCGGACACTTCCATACTTCCTGTATATATTCTTGCATCATAACTTAGCTCGGAAACTCAAACTCTGAGATATGTAGTCCTGCCTACCCCTGCATGTCACACCAATACCTGCTCGAGTACAGTACTAGTACAGTACACTACTGCGCAGAATTTAAGGCCTCCCAAATTTCCCCACCTCCCAATCCCACCCGACACTCCGTACGCCGTATGCAGCGCAGTGCAAGGTATGATACAAGTCTCATACGTACTAGCACAGTACCTGTAACCCTTCGAGGAAGTACCGATGCCCACGCGCCATAACAGCAAGAGCCCCCCAAAAAGGGCCCTTTGCCTTTCCCCCCCCCCCTTTGTCCGATCTCTCGCACTTCAAGCAAGCAAGTACGGTAGTTACCGACGCCAATCGCGACCGCCGAGGTGTGGAATTACCCGGCGTTTTGGAAAAAGACGTTTACTGGATTCTAGGTGGATACATTCAGCTATATATGTAATGGTGTGATTGGTACCGTATTGTAATAGTGGGAAATGATTTTGCTTCGAAACTACGGAGCACGGTGGCTCACTCGGCTTGGCGGAATCTTGGTGCTATTTTTCAGAGCTAGGCGTGATATGGTGGTTCCGGAAAGGCCAGTGAATTGGAGGTCTCTGAGGAGACGGTCGACGGAATGGGAGCCAGTATCATACCGTGCAGGGGTGAAAAGGCCCCCGGGTCCGGAGGGTTCTCATGGTCGTTTCCGGATTGGTGATGCTTCTGTGGGCTTCATCGTGCAGTTCTATGAGGCTCATGGTTCAACCTCGATCTGCAATTAGGTGTATATTGCATACCCCTTAAGCATCAACGATGCCATTTCAGATCCTAGGCGCAGCCCCACCCCTTCGCCCACCGGTGTTTCAAGCGGTCGTGTCCCTCCACCTCCGCCGATACTATATCCCATAGCGCCCCGCATTCCACCCTCATACTATGATATCTCCATGCCTATTTATGAAAATATATACGCTAACCTCTTCTCCCTACCCCTTCAGAATTCCTTCCTCGCCGCGTCCGGCACTAAAACCCTCTCAAGGTCCCCAGGATGGCCGGATCAAACCGCACGAGGTATGATAAGAAGTGGAACGGGTTTCTGAATAGACCCCAAAGCTAAGGAAGGTACTGGAATTCGACTGATCGATAGTGTGCGCAATCGTCAAACTCAAGTGGACCACAATTCAGAGCAATTTTCAAAATAGATCACTAGCAGGAATATAGCCAACCAAACATTCACAGGATAGCAAGGACACTAAGCGCAAAACCGCGTAGAGATACGCCTCGATATAAGCTCCCGGTAACGTTACCTTATTACAGGCCGACATACAAATAGGCAAGCGAAACCTAGCAGACTACAGAAGCAAACTTAACCCTACAAACGTGTTGAAACAATCATTCATCGGCGCCCAACCCGCTTGGAAATCACACAAAACGCCTCCGAAATCCATTTTGATGCACCGGCCAAACATGTTGAAGTTTGTCCTCCATAGTACATGTCCCCCTCAAACGTGTGAAACAAAGAAATGGAAAAGGGAAAGAAAGAGAAAGGAGAATTTTAGCTAAAAATTTAAACTTTAGATCCGCTAACTGCTTCTAGGACTCCAGCATTTTTTTTTTTTGCTTAAAGGGGGGATATGGAAAGTTGAAAGGGGGGATTGGGGGAAGGATACTAGGCTGAGGTCAGGCCATTAGCGAGGCTCTCATCCATCTTGGGAACCTCCATGCCGTCAAAGAGCCTGTAAATCTTCTGGCTCTGGTGGAAATCATTGTCGACTTTACTCATGTTAGCTTGGGGCTCGCAGGAGAATACATGTGAAACTTACCAATGTTCACCAAGAACCAAGTATCCATGACCTCCTGGATCAAGTGCCTGCTTACACTGTCTGCCTCGTAACACTTGGCCCAATCGTCACCAAGTCTGAAGGCTTCATCTTTCCAAGCCAGAAAACTGATCGTCTCGACAATGGTCGGTTGGATAATCTCCTTGCCGGAGTATACACCCCAAGTTACGGCATTGGGACCCTCGCTGGAATTCGTCTTGAGGGTCCCATTCTTATCAACAGCGTGGTATGACAAGTCGGGATCTCTCTCGATACGAGTGATGAGCTCGGCAAGCTGCTCGGGGGATACTAGAAGTTCGAGATAGGACTTCTGATACACATATCCATTTGGGGGGCCCCAGCCATAGACAGGGTGAGTAGATTTCACACCGTTAACAGCAGGTTGAGAGTTGATAGTCAGAAAACCACGTTCGTTCAGCTTCAAAAGTTCATCCCTAATGGTATCGGCCTCTGAGTTGATGTATCCCTCAGACCAAGGCAATGACGGTAGGTTTCCGGTGAGGTATTGCTTGATGAGCTCGCTAATGTCCCGGATTGTCTTTGGATACCCATAGATCTTGATATTTGCTTCATTGCTGCCCCGTAGACCAATACCGTACGCGTCAAGCTCTCCGAAAGCTGGCGACCGCGAGTCACCCCAGCGGCCATTTGGAAACTCGTCCCATTCCTGAGTGCGCTGAACATAGGACATGTGGCGGTTCTTCCAGAAAATAGGACGAACGTTCTCTTCCTTCCGGTTAAGACCAAGAGATGGACGGAAGGGAAGAGCCTTAGTACGCTGTTCAAGTGAGGGAACGATTCCAAGCCCTTCAAGACACATGCGAGTAGCGGTTGCAAGATTCATGGTATAACTATGATTGGTTTCCGTAAGTGCAAATTCATCGACTACGTCAGGGTAAACTCACAAGTGAAGGTGCAGTATCCCCGCGTCAATGATCTTCTGGCAGAGCTCAACCATCAAATCCCGCCCAATATCCCTCACAGCGACGTCATCGTTCTTAACAGGCTCTAACAAGCGTAGCCACTTCTCGGGGATGTGGCACTTTGTCCAAGTAGCTCTCCTCATGAACGCGGCATACGTGTGGATGGGCATGATACCGGGAATAATAGGTACAGTGATACCAACATCTCTGCACTTTTTGACCCAGTCCAAAAAGATGTCGGCGTCGTAGAACATTTGAGTGATAATGCTAGAAGCACCAGCATCCACCTTCTCCTTCAAGTGCTCAAGAAGCAATTCCGGGTCGGTGCCATCGTCGCACCCCTCCGGGTACCCGGCAACATGAATGTCAAAGTGGTTCCCATAATTTGCTTTAATGTACTTTACGAGATCCTTAGCGTAGCGGAATCCGTGAGGGTCAGCCTCCCATTTCTCGTTTTCTCTAGGAGGATCTCCGCGAAGGGCGAGAATGTTTGTGCACCCAGCCTTATAAGCATCCTTCAGGGCATTGTCAACCTTGGACTTGGGCATTCCTGTGCAGGTAAGATGCATGCATGTCTCGATTCCGTAAACCGATTGTGCGACATTGACCATTTCACAAGTCAAATTAGAAAGACGACCACCGGCATTCCAGGTAATATCGATGAATTGAGGTCCAAGTTGATTCATGCGGTCCATGCCTGTTAACCGATTAGCGACCTTATCGTATAAGAGCAAGTTACCGCGCTACACGCCACGAGTGGGTTAACATACGGTCGTAGAGATTCTGGACACCCTATAGAGGCAAAAATGTCAGTAACAAACACCGATGGTAGGAGAACATTACGCAACAGGAAATACTAACCTGAGCTGTCTTCGGAACAAAGTATTCGAAAGAGAATGTGGGCTTCCCATTCTTCTCGTGCTCTGCCGCAAGCTTAGGAGCTATGTGGACCATGATGCCAGGTGGAATTTTGAACTATGTCTACGACCGGTAGATTCAAATGAGAAACTATCCCGCGATTGATACTATCTGCAGAACGAATGGGGGGCGGTGGGAGTTCGGGGTAAAGGAAATGAAAGGAAGGAGAAAACAAACTCCAGGGTCTGACGAGGGGTTAGAGGAAATGAGCAGTCAAGAGTAATTTTTGTGGAAAGGCAGGGTACCAAAGATGGGGTCCCAGGGCTTGAAAGGAAAAATAGAAGAAGAAAAAAAAAAAGTGACCACCGGAAGGAAAGGGGGCAAGTAAGTACCCGTAATACAATGAACTTTGGAAACAAAAAATTACCTTTCACAGCTCTCTCTCTCTATCTCCGCAAACACGATCTAGCAAACAACGACCACGACGCTTTAACCAGAGGCTCTTCGTTGACTCCGTTTCTCCAATTTACTCGGATCGGATCACCAGATGTTCAGACCTGACTTCCCAAAACAATTGACAATTCCTCCTCTTGCGAGTCAAGATTCGCCGTGATGAGGCCTTGTCCGAGTCTCGTTCTTGATTGTTCGGTGGGTAGTAAAAGAAATTCCCTACGAGATCCCTTCGCAACACAACCCAGCCGGTCTCTTAGCGCTGTGCATGCACCACTGGCTGGTGATGACGCTGGCCGATTGTTTGTCCCTGCTTAAACCGAGGGACGGGTTATCAAATTATCTGCAGGGACTCTCTAACTTGCTGAATCCTCGGGTGAAGACAAGCGGGGGAGGAGGGAGGAGAGAGGTGATTAGATTGCCTTTGATTCAGTGAAAGCCAACCCGGGAGACGAAAGAGAAAATGCGGGAAAGAATTGAGACGGCCACACACACAAGTGGAGTAGGAAGAGGAGCGAACTATAAGGAACGAAGATCAGAGAAGAAAAGTTGACGCACAAGAGGCAGGGACCACCGCTTTTTGTGTGGGTAACTGGAGCTCGGAAGGGCGACGAGAGATTTCCGGGAAAGAAGAAAATCTTTCCAAATTCCCTGCCAAGAGTGTGCCAACCACCCAACAAGTAACTGCCACTTTATTGTCCCCCGCTCCCCAGAATAGCTAGACTGTCGATACACAGATGCCCGAGTACAAGTATGATACCAATACAGTACAAGTGCAAGTACAATACAGCATGAGTGGAGTGCGCCATCGGTTCCCTAACCCTTGGCGAGACAATTGCATCAAAGGCAGTACCGTAACTTGTACTATACAACACCAGGGAAATGAACAGACACTTGGGAAAGAAAGAATTGAAGCCCTCACAGGGGACTCGTGTCGTCAAAGAAATCTTCCTCTCCCCTGTCTCCTCTTTTGCAAACTTGTCCAGTACACCCGATTGCCCTACAAGCCTATCCGCTGTCACGGGCAGATCGGTATCGAACATCTCTTCACCAGAATCTCAATTGGACTGCAGTGGGGGATTTTTTTTCTTTCCTCCCACCGTTGGTTGCACTGCACCCTTCGGTGCCCGAGTACAACACCAGTGATTTTACACGCATCCCACATACCGCATCTCCAGTAGACTACCGGTTTACGGTATGCCATTCTGTGGCCCCACCTCCCTTCCCCTGCCTCATTCCTCCTGCCTCCCTTGTCAATCGAACACCTTGCGGGGAAGGAAGAAAGTCGCCCAAAGTGCCACACACAACAGAAAATTTTTTTACACTTCCCAACCCTTTCTCCCACACTGTTCCTAAATTGGCTGCGGGCGGTGTGTAGAATACTGCCCTGCACCGCATCGGCTGCGAGTTCTCGAGGGGGGGGGTTTCACGGGGTCTTAATCATTCACTGCCCTGAACTTTGCTCGAATCGCCCACATGGTGGGGTTCCAATAATTTTGTCCTCGCTCGAGTCGCGGAGATTCGATTCGATAACCCAGCGCACATAGCTCTAAAGGGGGCAGTATAAGGCGTTAAGGAGCTTACCGCTCTGGACGTGCCTTCGTCCGTTGTTACAAGTACCGGCAAGCAAAAACCTACCCCCCCCACCGACGATACAAGCTCCAGCACCGGCCTGTTAGGTCTTGCGGCTTTGTGAATATAGAGCAACCAATCTACCGGCGCGTTGACGTACCGGCATCCCCACCCTAACAGCTTGTTATTAATCAATCAATCACTCGGATGCAGGTCGGATGGTAAAATAGAAGAAGTACCGGTAGGCCATCAGGCAACACACCGGAGAAATGCATGGTAATTGGATTTGAGGTGCTCGCCGAATGGGCGAATTCCATACCGTGTCGAAGTTACTTAGAACAGCAGTTCTAGACGGATGAGAGTTGACCTCGGGTGGGGTTGGTTGCGACGCAAATCCCCCCCTCCGTGGCCCCTGATACAGTGCTTGTGTAGAGTTTGAGTCCGGTCAAGAAGTGAGTAGGAACAACCAGGCCGCCATACGGTACGATGAGAATACCCAGAATTTCGGAAAAGGTTGCTTGTGCTGCGCAAGTGGGACCCGGAACATGGGTGGGCACAACTTGGCCAACACCGAAAATGGTCAATCACCCATGCTGATTCCAGTGCCAACACTTGTATTCAAAATGAGTTAACTTGATACCTGGGGTAGAGTGGTTCGGAAAAGATGCGGACTTCAACACTATAACCTAAAATGGATTTAAATTTCTAGAAGAGTAGCAGCTGTAGAGAATTTGAAGGCTCAACTGTGTATAATACTGCTATTCCAGAGCTGAGAACCGGATGGAAATTTGAATATATATGATGTCATTGCTTCTTTCAGTGGTTCTATGGGTAGTCGGTATTTTTGGGAATTTTCCCACACTGGAACATCTTGGTATGAAACCTGCTATTTTCTCCGGTAAAATTGCGCGTGCCCACTCTCACCTTTGGACCCCACTTGTATCATATCGTGCTCCCTACTGTATGATAATATAGAAGATCATAAAAATTTAATGGAAAAACTTTAACCTAACCTAGCACTTCACAGACCCTAGCTTCCCAACCGTGGAGAGGGGAGAGAGACATCACAGCAACAAAGCTATGATACCACTACCGATACTGATTGACATTTCAGGGACAAAATAGGAGGGTTAAAAAAAAAAGAAAAAAGAAAAAGGGTCCTAAGGCATGCGCACCTTAGCTGTAATTGCACTCGTAATGATTACGGTATGTGAGCCCTTAGGGTTGCATTAGATCCCTCGTCCCCCATTGATGTCATAGTCTATGATATGATGCATCACAAGTAAAGGCTATTATACGAGCACTGTACGAGTACGATGCTGTAGAGTACCGTACTCGCATCGTACAGTACAGTTACGAGTATTTACCCTTTCTTCCTTCCTCCTCCCCTCGTGGAATAGATATCATAAAAAATCCCAACGTTTTTAGCCTGTTGTGCTGTATGATGCAGTAGTTCTACGTACGAACCTGCCCTACCATGGATATACGGTATGATAGTGTCACCAAGATCCACGAAAAGCTTAACAACCCGCGCGAAGCCCGAGGAAGAAAAGGGTTCCTTTCTTATCCCCTGAACCGAACAACCGAAAGATATCGGGTCGGAAAAAGGGAAAAAAGAAAACTTTAAAAAAAAAAAAAAAACTCTAGAAACTTCCCCCGTTATGATAACTAACTTACTGCACTGTGATACGGTACCAACAAAGTTTTACAAATAAACCATCCTCAATGGATACCGGTGGGGGGTACAGTACCGTACAAGTGCAGTACCAACGTCCACGACGTGCTAAAAGAGTTTTCTTTTTCTTTTTTACCTGGTTGACCCGAGGTAAGTTAGTTCTATTCCCTCCCAACCCTCCGGTCGCGATATGTGTGAATACTCGGGAACGTTGTTATCGCAGCGCAGACCAAGAACCGCGCCAGAGTACCCCCCATACCGGCTCTGACCGCACGCACATGACCGAACCCCGTGCTCACTTCGAAGGGGTACTTTACCGGATCGGGTGGATGGGGAGGGAAGGGAAGGGAAGGGAGGATGGGTGCTTATCATGACTACCGTAACTTGAAGTTGTGGCACTAGACTACATGGTCATATGTAGGGACCAACTCGCCGTGTATGATGTGTTACGGTACCGTAGAGGTCCGACAGACCCCGTGCGGGTAAACTGGGATCATGGTCGGTGTTTGGCGTTGGTTCTTGGGGTTTCTGCTGTCTTTGGAGGATTGTCGTACCCGGATTTGTGGGTGGGCGGTGGGTGGTGGTGGAGGATGGATGGGCTTCTACGACACGGCAGGCACCACTATATTTGCTGGTGCGTAGGAGCCGGGGGGGGGAAGGGGGGTGACATATCATACTCTACTTGCGCGGTACTGTACTGGTACATTGCCGCCTACGTATATGATAACCATTAACTTGTGGGGGGTCTGGGGTTGGTGCGGGGTGCTGGTAGAGTATTGGGCTCTTAGCCTGTTCAGAGTGCAGAAAGCGTTCGACTGCACACATCTATCATATCTCTTATACCTGGAGTACCTACATATAATATCTACTCCGTACACCATCTATGGCCCACAGAGAAGATTAACACTTTCCTGTAGACTAACATCTTAAGCGGGCGCTCGTGCTCACAGAAGCTTCATATGAAACTGCCGATATAGCGCACCCCCCGCACTCCATACTACAATACGGTACCCAGCTCAATCTTCCAGGCTAATATGCCGTGCCGCAATTAGCGTGGCAAGCAGGATAACGGGGTATACTACTCGAGTACGTGTATCCCCCGCGGCCTCAACCATGTTCCCGGAATTGAGTGCCGCATGACTCTATCCCGGGGCCCGTCGGTATCTAGGTTAAGTTGAATACGTCGGGCTCGCAACGCGTAGCGCGCGTTTACTAAGGATGGAGAATGATCTAATGCAAACAAACCCCCTTGACCCCAGAAGTGCCCTTTTGGGATACCGGTATTTGTGGTGTGACGAGATGGTAAGAGTTGGGGCGGAAGAAAAGGAAAAAAAACAAGAGTGAGGAAGAAGCTACTCATACCAGTGATGGTAGCGGAACGGTGAAAAGGGTGAGGAAAGAAAGGTTGCTGGTTGGTAGGGGAAGGGAGGGGGTGAATCCGCTACTACTAGTACGGTATCCGGCAGAACACAATCGCACCCATATCCCTAGAACTAACACTACCACTATGATACTGTACATCCCTTACCCTCCTCCCCCCTCCAATCCCACTACCTCAAACTATCTCACCTCCCAAACTTCAGCTTCATCCCCGTCTCAATCCCATCCCAAATCGACTCGCAAACCTCGCGATCTCTGAATCTCCTGCTCCGCTCAATACTCAAACACTTCACGCCGGCACCCCACCCCCTCACCTGGTCCGGCACCGTCTCCCCATCCCAGCCGACATAAAACCCCCTCACCTGTCTGAATAGCTCCACGGGGTTATTCCACTTGTAATCCCTGAATTGCCACGCCTGCCCGGTTGTAAACACCCCAACCACGCGGTCCCAATAGTCCGGCTTGAACTTCTCGATACTATCCACGACCAGGAAGCGTACGGGGGCTGTGGGGTGGATTCCTGGAATCAGCCGGGAGATATGGTGGAGTGTCTCGTGAGGTCCCGGCAGTTGGGAGGAGGGGATGAAGGTGCCATTCTCCAGAAAGGCTTTTATGTTCGCCATTGTTAGGAGAGAGGAGGCGGAGGGGGACAGGAGGATTATGGGATCACGGGAGCGGGATTTGCTGGGGGATTTGCTTGGGGTCGAGGTTGTTGAGGTGTCGCCACCGGCGGGGTGGCCGGAGCGGTGGGGAAGGGATTTTTGCTGAGCGTGGTGGTGGGGGTGGGGGTGGTGGGGACCTGGAGTTGAGGAGGGATTACTGCTGCTAGGTTTCTGGTTGCGGAGTCGGGTTATGAAGTCTTCGGCTTGCTTGCGGACGTGGGAGAAATCCTGCATTGTTTGTCAGTTCACGGCCGTTGCAGGGAGTTGCGGGGAATGCCACGGTAGGTTTAATTCCGCGGAGGAACGTGTTTCGGTTAGACAACACTCTCTCATAGCTATAGATCTCCAACAATCTCGGATCCGTAACTCTAACCTTCCCAGCCAACGCCGTTGACGACCCACCGATCTTCGCACTTCCCCCAGGAGTGCTCTGCGGACCCTGCCCCGCCGCCGCACCCGCTACCCCACCGCCCGACACAGCACTAGCAGCGTGAGCATCAGTGCTAGCTGAAGCGGAAGCAGCAGCTGACGCCAAAGGCTTAATAAAATCCGACTCTTCCTGCCCACCTTCAAGCCAGGTGACCAATTCCAGCCTCTCCAAGAACGCAAGATTTGTAACCACCCCATCGCCCAAGTTCTGCGCTTTGGTAATGTAGTCCGGGATCGTATCCTCGCGATGAAGCCAAGCGAAATAGATGGAGCGCAGGTCGACGGACTCCCCGCTGGACTTATGAAAGCGCGTTTTTGTCCACAGGGGAAATGCGGCGGAAGGGAAGATCAGGTACGAGGCGGAGGCCAACGTGACCTCTTGTGGTGGAGGGTTAGGGGTGTGAGAGAGGGATGGCGGGGGGGATTGGGAGATTGAAAGGCGGAGGAGGGAGAGGGGATCTGTGTCAGCGGTGGATGACAAGGAAGACATTGTGGTATCAAGGCGCGAGACTGGGACTCTGAGAAGAGTATCAGACTCAGCCATTCGTTTGGCTGCAGCTAATTTGAAAAATGCTCCTTCGTGAACGCGATAATGGTTGGTGGTTTTGTGGAGGAGGGGGAGGAGAACGGAGCAGTACAGTAGTTGTGTTTGCTGGCGTGGTTGTGAGAAAGGAAAGCTTGTGGTTGATGAGAAAGTAAGCTAGGGGAGTATGGTTTTCGGCACGAACTGAGATGGCTTGGCGTTTTTTTGAGTTTCGCTGGGTTAGGGTTAAAGTAAATCCCCGAATTTAATTTCTATGCTAGGGGGACCCTCCCCATTCATGATGTGATGCTGTGTTAAGAACTACCCCTGCCACCTGTCCAGGTATCATGAAAGATAGTCGATTGGTGAATTATACTAGTACGGTAATAGAGATATTTGTTTGGCCAAATGTGGGTCAAGGCGGTTCCATGAAGACTACTGTAAGTTGGGAATTGAGCTGCAGATAACTAGACCGACCCCTGAGAAGCAGGTATCTGATGGGAATCGGGATAGGTTGCGGCTGTTTGGCTTCGATAGGCTCTGTTCGCTCACCGTGATATTGCCTGACCATCCTGCCCTAGCACCAACCAACAAAGCGAATTCCATTAGCTAGACAAGGAATTATGAACACCTGAGTGATGCCGCCCAATCGCCGTCAACGTTTGGCTATGCACAAAAAGAACCTGAGTACCTCCTCTATAATTTCCTCCCGCTAGGGTGCCCGCTCGAACCCAACCCACTGGCCCTCCTCCGGTTGAACCTCCAACGACTCCCAAGCCTTCGCCTCTTCTATCTCCTTTACAAGATTCAACTCGTTCCATCCTTGTTCGAGAACTTCCTCAATGAGTCCGGCGCCAATCTTCTCCTCCAACTCGGTAACCTGTTCGGCATACAACGGCGGCTCCTCGGGCAGCAATGGGACCTCGGGTGAAGGGCCCTTCTGCTCAACACGGACATCCACATCACGAGCGTACGCATCCGAAGTATCGACTGCAGGACTGAGCCCCCAACGGCCCATCTCCTTATCCAAGAAGGCCTGCATGACTGGACTATCCGTAGTGACCCTATTCACCATTTCGAGGAACTGTTTTCCGACCACCTTCAATTCGAATTCTGTGTCCTTTGTTCCCTGAATACCGTTTGCCTCTCGCTGGGAGTTGAGGGCGGCTTGGTACTCTGCCCACCCCTCTGGCTTGACTGAATCAACAATTGCCAAGCGCTGCTTTGTGAGGTTCTCGGTGGACTGGCGGTAGACGGAGTGTTGCGGCAGTCGGGAGAGAAGGGACAAGGTGTGGTTGTAGACTGCGATGAGGGCTGGTCGCGGGTTCGGGTGTGTGAGGATTCCAGCTATCCCAGTTGTGGAGAAGGGCGCGAGGCGCTGGGTGCCGACTTGGGCGAAAAGGCGAAGTGTCGGTAACATTCTTCCTCCGCAATTGGGGGGATGGAAATTGGTGATGATTTGGGCTTTTGGTGGGGAAAGTGTTTTTGGTGGGCTGGCGGGTCAGGGATTGAGGTGGGACCAATCAGAATTCTCGCTTATGAAACATCAGAAACAACAGCGTCATGTAGGATCACTCGGAGATATTATCTTCTGCCCTGTTGGAAATAGTTGATGGCCGCACACGGAGGCTGTAGTGGTAAACGTGCACACTGCTAGAGGGCGCGTAAGCTATGAAAACCCTTCTAATCCTTGTCTTTTCTTCCTTGTTTTCCCCCTCACGGGATAACGGCTTCCTGTACCTTACCTTCCCCTTAAAGTTCTTCCTTTCTATCACCTCATGACAATCAATCATGGTCTTCATCTTCACCTAAGTGAAATCTCATGTCTCCACTCGAGCCATTCTACTCACTGCGTAAACCCTCACCATCGATCATTACCTCCGTAACAATCATTTTTCAACATGCTTGCATGGACTGCTCTGCTTTAATGGTTTGTTCATGGGAAGGTCTTTATGTCCTCTGGCTGTTAGTAAAAACTGGGCTCAAGTAGAGTATCCCCTAATTAACTTTTGCGGATTCCTTTTAGCAGAGATATTAATCTCCCTGGGTGGAGTGGATTTGAAGAAGGTTTTCGAAAAGAGACTCAATACCTTGAACACACTCTGGGACCTGTTCCCGTTATGATCAAGGTTTCTCTGGGGAAACACTGGTATGGTACCTCTATTGAATATATAAAGGACTGTTCACCTGGAAAACCGACAAAATACTGCCGACATCGTACCAACCACCCCCTCCAACAGCCAAAGATTCAAACTAGAACTTTAGTTTACAGCTTTACCCAAAATACAAGCAACCTACCTGCTTATCAAATCTTTATTCTATCCTACGACTTCCCGGCAGCAGCAAACGCCTTCTCCTTCGACGGCCCCTCGAGTGTCGCATCAACTAAACCCAAGGGTGTTTTGTTTAACCTTCAACTGGGTCCATGCCATCCCCCCCGGGGGGGTAACTTGAAATCGAGGCGCCTTTAAAACTTCAAGCACAACCACCTCCTCATCACCGGCATTCTCGAGGTGATCTCTCTGATCAATGGTAATATATCTGAATTCGCAGACGTCATAATCGAATGTTCTTGCAGTGGTTAGGGCATCGAGGGCTCTGGTGCGAGCTCAGCCGGAGGGGGGAAAGTTACATTCACCGGGGTGCGGGTACTGGCGGGGCGTTAGCGAATGTCCCTCAGAGGGGTGTAAAGAAGAGACCCAACCATGCAACCCCCTCATGGCCGGGTTTAATAGTTACCGGTGCAGCGACGTTTTCACTGACGTCTCAGAGGTCCTCCACACTACCCCTGGAGCCTCCGGTCGCGTTTGTTCTAAGAAAAGAAACTGAAGGAGGTCTGCGCGGGAATCTGTCCTAAGGGTTGGTAAAATTCTGCTTTTCGATATTGGCTGGCACGGGCATGCCGTCAGGGATGTATAATCGGGATTCCGGGAGATTGTCGAATGCGGCTACGGGCGCGCTGGACGCCTTGGAGGTGACTTCGTGTGGATTATGAGGGAACCATTCTGTGATTAGGGAGGTTTCTTCTTGGGAGAACTTGAAGTCACCGAATGCCGGGAGGAGTTCGCAGCCGTTTTTGTTGGAGTGCCTATCGGGCATGTGAGTTGGTTGTTATGCGGATAGATGGTTCATGCTTCTACGGCTTAGCTGTTGGGTTTCTTGTTGATGATGTTTCCTGTTGCCACAGGGCATTGGTGATGTGGTTTGGTTTCTTTCACGCCTGATGCCTCTAGGCATCTGGTTCTTTGTTAGAGGTTCATGAGAGCTTTAGATTGTTGGGGAGCATGGAGGATCATGGTTCATCAGGATGAGTAGTTCTTTTGTGTTCGTGGTGTTTCCTCAAAGCTCCAGAGTTCTGGTTGCTTAGGAGATATATATCTCCCATTCTGTCCTTAGCTAGAGGTGAGGTTTCGACCATCAGTTCTTTGTTAGATTTCACCATCATCCATTCTTTCATCATCCTTCCTCACTTTCTTGCATTTCATCGCACTTGTGTTGCTTCATTCATCCGTGCTCTCCATTCACCTTCATCAGTTTTCAGGCGCTTGGATGGAGCGGGGGGAGGTCCCGGGAGTGGTATATTTGGTATGAATGAGCTTGAGAAGGGGGGATTGGGGGAGATGGCGCACATGGGGAGCTCCAAAGATCGCCCCTTTCACATCGCCCACGAAGTTGCAACCAAGGGAGTCGATTACAGAGATGAGAGAGATCCCTTTGAATATATATGCCCACTCATTCACGCTATGCCCTGTTTTCCAGCCTCCAAGTCAGTTCTGGCTGCATGAAATCTGGATTCCGAATATCTCTCAAAGTGCAACTCTGTATGAATGTTGGGATCCAGCCCGATATCAACCCCGTCATCTCCATCGCAGTAGGCACGTCGAAGCGGGAAACCCCGTATTTTTTGTTGCCTTGCCCATCCTCCATTTGTCGACCCGTTATCCAAATGCTCTACCAGCCGCTTCGCTTGCTGAAACCCCCCCCCCCGTGGGTTGGGGGTCTCACTAGTGATTTCAGATTCTGCTCGGCGTGGGCGGGATTGTGCGGGCCGGGTTTGCTGGCCCCCAAGTTCTCACGGACCGCCCCGGTTATGACGTCCAAGAAGCCGAAATTGGTGTAGCGATCGGACCCGGAGTACCGGCCTGGGGTGAGAGCTGTGGGTACCTGTGTGTGGGTTGTGTTCTTAGTGAATGGTGGTGCGGGTGAGGACGCCAGAAGTTAAATTACCCAGGTGGTGTACAAGCATGGGTGGGAGGGGAGAGGGGGTGTTGGAGCTGCGTTTGCTGTAATAGGTGAAAGAGGGAGAGGGGGAGATATCCGGACTACATCTTTGGGGTTCTCAGGATTTGACTTGATAATTAATGGGGTAATGGGGTAATTATAGAGAACATGATATCGAATTCATTCCGAGGAGCATTTTTCCTGTTTATATATGTCTCTCCACCCTTGAGCTAATCTCTGTTTTATAAGGCCGCCATAGCTCAATGATTACCCACCCACCCACCTTCTCCATGGGTATCTCTGGAACCCTTCACGAGGAGCTCAACAACGAAGCTCCCACAACGTATTGCATCACCAAAAGCCCAGCCCATTTTCCCATTTTCCCGGCGGTTATCCCGAATCCGAGAAATAAAACCCCCGAGCGCTGTGGAGCGAGGACATCATTGGCGCGAGTTTACATGACTAGGCTGCGCTGAAATAGCCTTGATCGGTTCTGACAACTAAGTTGATCCGCAGGAAACAGAAAAGACTTCATTCGTTTCCCACTCGACACTCCTAGCTGAGAAAGGTGTAGCCTTTTATTTGTTCCTTTTTATTCCCCGGTGAAAATTTATCTTACGCAGTGGAATTGGTGTTAGATCCTGAGTCCGGCTGGGGGTGGGTAGGCTAGCCAAATGGGAAGTTACTAGAAGTTCTACCCGAGCTTGGGTGGCTGGTGTTGAATTTCCTAATTCGTTTCATATATATATTTTCCTTGATAATATTGTATATTCCTCTACTTGGTATTATTATTAACATTACTACAGTTGGAGTATGTATTACGTATATTTCATTAATATTTCATGATATGATTAGGGGATTATGGCGTGCTTTCTTATCTGGTGTTCAGGTTTATTTCTTACATTTTACCCGTTCACACCATCTTAGATTTATGCATGTTTTATGGGATTTTGTCACGGCCACCTGGCCTGATATAGGAAAGGGACATTGGACTTTTGGTCATATATATTGGTTGTGGTTTTCTGGGTTGCATAGTAGGGTTTCCTTGGTTTTATGATTGGGATAGGTTGCCGCACGACGGAGACTGGTAGAACCTGACGGAAGGATTGCGGCTGCGCGCCATGCCAAGAGTTTGCTTTTGTATTAGTGATCATGGAGGATTTCCTAGCTATATAAGGGGGTGTGCCCCCTTATATTTTATGTTCTTCACGCAATCTGGTAATCTCCTTCGGACACCCTTTCTTACGTTCCAAGGATCCACCTAA